AAATATATACCATTATATTTTTACTAATATATTATATGATTTACAAAAAATCCATGGATACCAAAAATATAGAGTATAATAACTATGAGATTATGGTGACCACTTGTACAGATGCATACTGTACTCTTACTATACTGATGCGCTGTTACTCTTTAAATGTTGTATAACAGTATATGTATAAATAATAAAAAAAATTAAAAATTTTAAAAGAAATATACGATAAAATAGTTGATTACGATTGATTGGAATCACAATTTTAAAGAAATTAAAGATAATATGGAAGCAGTTAGAAGAGTGATAATTTTGATGACTGTATTGGTTGCTTGCTAAGTTAAGCTAGATTTTAAGCGCTTATCACTAGGTATACGTCGACCTGATAGATCTGTTATAATACGATCGCATCTCAATACTCCTCCTTGCCTAAACCAATCCAATTTTTTTATGAACTTGTTGCTCTTCAAACCTCTGTTTCCTTCTCATTAGAACCGGAAATGAGTTAAAAAAACGGGTCACCGCGTCTTCCTTCTCTTTGCCGTAGTAGCTTCTGTAGAGAACATTCTCGGATCGGCCTTTCCTTCTGGCATGTTCGCTAATTAAATAGTGTTATAGTTCCCTATAATAAGTCCGAAGCCTGAACGGTTTTGTAAAATATGCTATAAAAATATTAATTAGTTGGTCTTTGTATATTACTTTACTTATAATAGAAAAGTTTCCCGACCGTCCCGCGTATGTAAACATAGAAAAGAATTTGTTTTCAGTAATAAAAGGATAGTAGCTTTATTAACTTTCTCTCTTGCAATTTGGTCGTGTCTCACCAGTTATTTAAAAAATATTTTTTTTGTTAAACTTGGTTTACCACTGCTGCGGTTGAATTTATCCCGAAAAATCTTATAATCCATCTTATAATATTACAATAGGAAAGAATGTATGCATATATTCTGTGAAAGTGATGTTTTCCCACAACTCAGAGAATGAATAATACGTACAGGTGTCTAATAAAGTTACTATACTTATACTCATATTTAATTCTGTTTTTAAAATATTATTTTGAAGATTTTATTATAGATCATACCTTACATAGGAGAAGTTATGTGATCACACTAAGTAAAAGATATCGTGGCTCGCACAGAGACGAATTTTTCCAAGTTTTATCTACATTAAGACCCATTTTTGTGTATGTTCTACTTTTTATTATTTAAAATTTTTCAAATAGCTTCATAACTTTAATGTTTTCAAAATATTTGTTAATTAATATTGAGTTCTTTTTGTATATATGGTCACTATACAAATTAATGAAAGTATTATTGTTGTTATATAACAATAAATATATATTTAAGTATGTAATGAACATGTTCTGAGGTTACAATAATATAATAATAATAATAAAAAAAAGAATAAAAGAAAACCTAAAGTTAATTCTTAAATGACTTTCCTAGAGAAATTATTTGCGAGAATCGATAATAATAGCTAAAATTATGATAAAATTTTCAGATAATTTTCTATAAAAATAAATTCAGAATTTTTATTTAGTTTTTTTTGTTCTGCTTCTTTCTTCAATTCATTTCCTTATTTATTCTTCTTCTTCCCCGTTCATATTTTCTTTTTATTCCATTATATTTGTTCATAATGCTTAAAAAAAAAGAAGAGAAAATAAAAGAGAAAAGAGAAAGGAAACAAAGACAGATCATGTAAATTTAATGTATCCTTATGTACTTATATGTGTGTATATGTATGTGAATTAAATAAAGATTATATACTCGTAAAACCAATAAATGAATCCTTAAAAATCCTTCAGGGATAATAAAATAATTTCACAAGTTTTTATTATTTTTCATCTTTTTTTTTTCTCGAGCTTTTTTTCGGATATTGAAATGATTTTCTTTTTATTTTTATTTTAATTACTTTTAGATATTAAAAAATTTTTATTAGTAAAAGAAAATTAGACGATAATAATTTTGTGTTTTTAATTGGTTATGTTGGAATTTTGTTTATGCAAGAATATAAAAATTTTATACTGAAAATAATTATTTGAGTTTGAAATTTAATTTAATTTGGTTTGTGATCGAAAAAAAAATGATCATAACACAAATTTGATGCAATTAAATTTAATTCTTATTAAAAGAAAAAAAATAAACCATTATCGTAAACGTGTTTCGAAATATTATTGAAATTATTGAACAAGGAATTTATTCGAATAATATTAAAATATAATTGACAAAATTAAATTTATTAATAATTTATTAAAAATTAGTTGCCTGAAAATGTTGATTGGGTTCTGATAATTATTAATAATATTAATAATATTGTTTGTTAATTAAATAATAAATTTATGATTAATAATCTATTGTGCCAAATTTCCAAAAGAAATATTGAAAACGAGGTTAATATTATTATACAATTTTCTCGTTCTTAAATGTTCGAGAACTCTCCAAAAGAGGGGCGAATTACTGTTCACAATTTATATTCAAATTTGTAGTAAAATAAAATAAAAATTCTTTTCCAATAAATAGTTTTTTCCTCAATTTCCTCCAGTGAAGAATGAAATGACCGTCAGAGTAAAGATAATTTAACCCGAATTTCACAAAAATTTTGTGTAAAGTAGAACATCTCTCTTAAGTAAACTCAATTGTTCACAAAATTATGTTATTCTAAAAGCTTTTAGAAGCTAGCAGTAGTAAGAACCACAGCAAACGAGAACGTGATGGGTATAATGCTAGAGGGCGAGGATTGGACTAAGTGTATGTAAGAAATTAAAATATACGCCCCTCGAAAAAAATTATAAGAGTCGCAAAATAACATGAATAACTCCTGGGCGTTGGATTCGCCACGAAATGATAAATTTTCTTTTCATTTTCTGAACAGGTGTTGAAAATCATCAAAATACAAATAGAAGAGTGATGGTCTTACAACCCAACTTAAAATTCCATTGAGTCACAACTTCCGAAAACTATAGTACAAACCATTAGTTTTGCTCTATCGTGCTTTTGTTTACCCCGTGAAGGAAGGCGCAGAAGTGTTTTTTCAGCATTTTAGGGTAAATTGAGAGGTATCATTCGTTTCAGTCTTCCTGTCTTTTTTACCCTCCCCCATCTCTATGAGTCGGAAAGCCTCAATAATCACACGCACAAACTTTCCTATTTATGGCACAGTTTATTTTTTCTTCACTTATTTTGGGAACACCAAAATTCTATGTGAACAAAATAAAATGATCCATGAAGAATAGAATTTCCGCTCTCCAACATATTTTCAATACGTTATACGCAACAGAGAAGAATTAAAAACAAAATTTAGCACATATTTTTTGCATCTCAGACAAATTTCATTGCAATTTTGCTTTTCAATTTTTGCGAGAGAATTTGTTTTTTTTTTTTGTGAAAAAGATCCCAAATAAACAATTTAATTTAAAAGTTTGTTTATTGATTTTGCACAAGTTTTATTTGAAATTTATTTTATTTAAAACTCAAAATTATCAGGAAATTTAATTTTCACCTCATAAAATATCCATTAAAAATGCAATATTGTTTTAATTTAATCCAATTTAATTTTGCAGCAAGATGAGGATGTTTGGGTCAATGTTCTGATGGTTGATACTTCCATTATACTTTTATTATGAATTTCTTAATAAAGCATTTGAATAATTTGTTTAATAAAAAGTTTTATTAATAATGATTAAAAATTGTAAAAGTTCTTTTAGCATAATTTTTTCATTTTTTTCCGATGAAAATTTCAAATTTAATTATGATTGTACATATACAAAAGCACGTATTTCCAAACGGCACGATATTTGTTTTTGAAAAAGTTTCTGATTTTCAAAATTATCGGAAATCTATTAACTTTCATTTGAATATTAAGTTTAATTACTTTGATAACCAATTCAATATGTACTGTTGTTATACTATGTAAATACGGGCATACTTAGTAACCTACATAAATATCATCATATTTTAAATCTAACTTTATTTGGTTTTGTATTGGTAGGGTAGAATCATACAATTGAGAAAAGCTATTATAGGCGAAAGTAATTGATTGTTTGTTACTTGGTTGACCTAAGAACATCCGATTGTCACCGTGCGTTCAACTACAGATCGCTCATTTCAAACACCCCCCCTTTTGGAGACGCTGTCTTAATCTCCGATGTCAATCTTCCTCGTCCAACCCCGTCATGCTTTTTCTACCCTATGTGAATAGTCAAGCCCTCAACAGGCCGAACACTAGATAGTGAAAAGGAGTTACATTCTTGTTCATCTCTCGGCAGCTGTGACACTGAATGGCTATCCCCAATGCTCTCCTGACAGTCAATATTTCGTATTGACTAACGCTAGGCCAGCAATGATCCGCCGAACGAAAGGAATATACCCGATTTCCTAAGATCGTATTTTATACATTTTTCTTGCTGCCAGGCATGGAAACAGGGCTTTCCATTTGCGGGCAATTCCCATCGTTGGAAGTATCGGTAAATAATACCACCTCAAACCGCTGTTCCATTGACCACGAGAAGGGCTTACTATACAAGTAATAGAAATTTTATAATTTTTTTTGGATCGTTCATTTTAGCAAATTGACATTAAATATTTTTACGATCTATTATTGCCAGACTTTTTTCGGTAACACTCCACAGTTTTCACTCCACAACGAAACTGCTCTGTTTATTGTATAAAATATTTAAAATTATGAATGAGAATTTAAAAATTCTCTTAAAATTTTCATTCATATCATTTTCACATTCATTTAAAAATATTTTCTTTTTTCATTAACTCGTTCTCATTTTTATAAAATAAGAATAGTATTTTAAATATTTTGTAAAAATTCTATTTATAATTTTGAAATACAATTCAGCTCTTCGTAGCTGAATAAATTTTGTGTAGTGTCAAAAAACACAATATCGTAAAAATTAGCTCAGTTTGCATTTGATGCTCTTTGCATCAAAATCAAAATATTTCTTTTTACTTGTTATACCGTTAAATTTTATAAACTTTTTTTTTTTTTGGATTTAATTCATTTAAAACTAAAAAAGAAAAACTATAAAAATGTCATCTAGTTCAGATATTTATAGTCAAGCTTGTAGTTTCCGTACAATACAATCTGATAAAAATGGGTTTTTTAGGGAGTTTTATGAAGAAGTAAAAGAATCATGCGGTGAAAAATGGCTTAAAAATTATTTTGGTCAATTTAAATCAGATCAAGCAAGAATTCTATCTATATTTAATGATCGTGAAATAAGTGATATCGTTATGGGTATATTGGAAAATGTTCAATCGGTTTATAAAAAGAAAGATGCAACATTTTCGGCACAACGTAGAATTCAAGCTGAAAAAAGTTTCCTTTTGGGTGATTATTCAAAAGCATTAATACTCATCAATCAAGCGATTCTACGAGCTCCAGAAAAAGGTAAGTTATCAATTCAATTTTTTTTTTCTTTTCATTCCTCTATAATTTCACTTTGCTTGTTTTTTTTTCTTCTTTTTTTTTAACCTGAAAAAGAAAATTTATCTCTTTTTTTTTCTTTATATTTTGCTGAGGTTTTTATTTTATTTTTTTCATGTTATTTTGAGGTTATGATAAAAAGCAGCACATTAACGTTATGTGGTATTGAGATATACGTAAGTTAATTATCTGAATTTCAACTGTTTAAAAAGGAAAATTATAAAAAAAATGTAAAAAGAGTAGTTCTTTTTTCCAATTTTATCTTCATTTTTAAATTTTTCCACGTTTTGAATCGAAAATGAAGAAAAAAACAACTGCTTTTTGTATATTAAAATGCAAAGTATAGTGGCGGTGGCTTTCTTTTGCTTGATTGAATAAAATGTTGACGAAAAGCATTTTATAAAATTATTCACATTTGAAACGGGGTACAATCATTCAGAAAATTATCGTTTAAACTATGGTACATATTATAAATAAATTTTCACATTTGTGCTGTTGATCAAGTAGGTAGTCCTATAACATTAATTTTATTCATGAATCACTTGCCAGTCTCGGTAGTTAAAGAATTATTTTCGATGATACTCTCTATATACATATCTGATGGTTAACTACACTAAAGAATTTATAAAAGGATTTATTTAAAAGAAAAAAAATTATTGAAAAATATTGTTGAAAATAAAATGCGGTAGCGCAAATGTAATGAGAATTAATGATGCTGTTTAAATCAATATTTCAACAAATTGTACATGCGAGTTTCTACATGAAATACATTTAACAAGTCGTAGTTACATTATGTAAAATAATTTTAATTTTAATTAAATATTCTCGAATTAAATGCAATTTTTAAAAATAATGCTTAGTACATGCTAATTTTTTGTTAATATTCAGGTGCTGATAAAGAAATAGATGGTGGTTTAACATTAGCTTTAGCTTTATGGCAAAGATCAAGTATTCTTATAGAAATGGGAGAAGGAGAACGTGCTTTAGCTGATTTAAAATTAACAACAACATTCGGTTTAAATACAAAACAAAATCCAGAATTTTATATAAAAATGGCAAAAGCTTATACATGTAAGTAATTTGCTTAATTTCTGATCATTAAAATTATTTTTGATCCATGACTTAAATTTGATTTTTGAAAATGAATAATTTTGTTATTTACAATATATTTTTAGTAATGGGTGAAAATGCTAGAGCCAAAGTTTCCTTAGGAGTTGCTGAATCATTTTTAGCTGGTAATGAAATTAAAATTGAGAAAGCACGGAATGAAATCGAACAAATCAATCCAACATTGAAAAAAGTTCAAAAACCTAAAGGTAACTATTTCGCTGCCGGGTATTTTGAATACATTATATAAAATATTTATATTTTTTAGTTCCATCATTAACTGGTGGTGAAAATTCAGAATTAAAAGGTGCATCAAATCTATTAACACTTGCCGAAAGTCCTGATAAAGGCCGGTATATAATTGCAAAAGATAACCTCAAAACTGGAGATATTGTTTTGACAGAGGAACCTATAGCTGCTTGCCTTTTACCAAATTATTATGGAACACATTGCCATCATTGTCTACAGAGGTGCTAGAAAAAAAAACAATTTTTAAATTTTTAATTAAATAAATTTGATTTATAATGTGAAAATTTCGTAAGCTCATACAATTTTTTATTTATTTTAGGTTAATTACGCCAATTGGTTGTTACAAATGTTCTGGAGTTGCATTTTGTAGTTATGATTGTATGACTGAGGCATTTAAAACTTATCACAAATATGAATGCCAATATACCGATTTAATGATTGGTAAGTTTAGTAATAATTATTCACACACACTTGCACTTTACGGAGTTACCAAATTGAAATTTCGGCATCGTTATTATTTAAAATTTTCCATCCAATTTGATTTTAAAAGTTCAAATTTCTATAGGACACTTTATAATGGTGCTTTAAAAGTAAAATAATTCTTTGTTACATCACAGACCATATAAAATTATCCATAATTTATTAAAATGAATGGTAAAAACTTACAAAAAAACAAAGAGTAAATAATTTTTCCGAAATAAATTTTGTTATTTTTTCTCTTTTCTTCTCATTTGCTTCAATAACGATTCTTCTTTATCTCATAATTTAACAATTATTTTAATATTAATGTAAGGGAAAAATTGTCCTCTTATACCAAATATTACTGGGTTCAGTCCATTGCTGTACGAAAGGACTACATGTAATATAAAATTATTTACTTCTGCATAATTCATGTTAAATTGCATTGTTTGCATATTATACATTACATTACATATAATAATTGTACAATATTATAATATGCAACATAATGGCAGAATACCTACTCATATACGTTACAAATGTGTGTATATAGGTATAAGTTGCTTATGTGTAATTTCCATATGAAATAAATATCTTTTTCTTTTACTGTTTTAATCACTTTTAGGTTCTGGCATGTCCATTCTATGTTATATTGTATTGAGAATATTTACACAATCAAAAACTATAGATGATGGTCTACAATTGTCTAATGAACTTATCACAAAATTATGCACACACAATAATTTACGACAACCAGAAGATTTTTTGGCACGTGGATTAATGGCTGCATTTTTATTACGTTGCCTTCAAAAATCTGGTTATTTTGGTATACGTATAACGGAGGGTGTTAATCCAACAAGTAAAGAAATTCAAGTTGCTACCGCTCTCCTTGGTTTATTACAAGTTGTTCAATATAATGTACATGAAATTTATGAAACAATTTTAACTAATGAGCATCGTTTTGATGGTTCAAAAGTTGTATATATTGGTGCTGGTTTATATCGTGTTGGATCATATTTTAATCATGAATGTTGGCCAGGAGTTGCAAGATATTTTTGTGGTAAATCAATTATTTTAGCATGTACGCATCCAGTTAAAAGTGGTGATACTGTATATGAAAATTACGGTCCCGTTTTCACAAAAATGATACTTAAGGAACGACAACAAAATTTAAAAGGACGTTATTTGTTTCAATGTAATTGTGATGCATGTCGAGAAAATTGGCCAACACTACAAAAATTAGATAAAATGGTTAGATTCAGGTTAGTTACAATTTTTTCAAAAATTTAGGAGGAGGAGAGAAAGAGTAAAAATCATAACAAAAATAACAATATTTTTTTTTATTTTGTATACTTAAATCACAAAAATAACTATGAGAGAAAACAATATGAGAAAAATATTTAGGACATGAAGAACATTAAAGATATATTGTTATTTTTGTTTAGAAAATTTCACTTCAACTATAATATTACACACATATTGTTTATATCCTTTATTCTACTTACAATATCAAGGATATAAATGTATGTATATGTGTCTATGTGCATGGTTATACAGTTTAGAGTTAATTTTTTGTTATTGTAGGTGCACTACTGCAAATTGTGACAACATAATAAAATTTCCAAAAGATATTAATAAAGATGTACGATGTACAAAATGCCGGAAAAATATTTCATTGAAGGAAAGTGTACTTACGGTTATTAAAGCTGAAGAACTTTATAGACAAGCAGCAAAATCAATGAAAGTAATATTGAAATTAAAAAACAATGAAAGAAAAAAAACAATTTGAAATTTCTTGAAAAATTTATAAATTTTAAAACGTATGTATGTATACTTTTAGGAACAAGATACAGAAGCAGCTATTGATTTTTTCAAAGAGGGTATAGATTTATTTTATCAGGTTGCTGTACTACCACATAAGGATACATTGATTGCACAAGAATCATTAAGATCATGTTACGGAGATACTGCAAATGTTTCTTCTGTTATTGCTGAAGCAAATATTTAATGATGAAAAGAATGTCTTTATAACTATTTTAGAAAATTAGAAAATGACTGAATAAGAATTGCTTTTAGAAATTAATTTTTTTTTTTCAATCATTTTATTGTTGTATAGTTGCATATTATATTGTAGTTGCCAATTTAGCATATTAATTTTTGTAATTTAAATTGTTTTATACAAGGTATAAAAGTGTGAAATGTAAAGTTAAATTTTGTTTTACTTTGCTCCAGGAATTTCATATAGAAATTGGCTTTATCATCTAGTAAATTTTCTACATTATAATTCTAATAATTAGAAAATGTATTGTAATTGTATATATGTATATCTGGTTATTGAAAAGTGTAAATGAATTTTAGTATAAAACTTTAATGATTTAGAATTTGTATAGTGGCCTGCAATTGAAGTAAAATAGAAGGGTTTTATTGATTACACAAGAGATGTTGCTTGAACGGATCTAGAAATAATCCTTAAATGATTCCAGTGATTTAGATCTTAAAATGTTCCAGCGTTGTAATTGATATTGATAATGGTTAAAATCTCTTCCTGCTTTGTTGGTTCCCTTCATAAATATAATTTGGGCCGTAAACTTCCACACCTTAAAACCTAAAATGTTAAAAAAAATTTATAAAATATTTGTGAAATGTTGCTAAAAATGAAAAAAAATTTTATATTCTCTACAAATTTTAATTAAATTTTTCTCAAAATTTATAACTTTTTTAAACTTCTTCTGAAAAAAAAGAGCAACACTATTAAATATTTTTCTGTCTTTAGTACTGGTGGGTTTAATTATGCGTTTTCATTCCAATTAACTTGTATTTTTTTATAATTCGAAAATAATATAAAAAAACAAAAGCGAATACTTAATTAGACAAACTTTTTTTTTCTTTTTCATTTAAAACTCAAATTAATTTTAATTTGTTTTGAATAATTGAAAATGGAATTAGAAGAATTTAATTTTGTTAAAAACAGAAAAAAAAATAATATGAACATAAAGGTTATTACTTATTTAATTTATTTTTAAATGAAAAAGCAAAAAATATTGGGCGAGAATAAGAGATGTTTGGGGAAGAAAATTAATGAATTTTTACTCTTAATCATCTCTGGTTGAATTGAAAATTTAAAAGTAAAAATAAAAAAAGAAAGAAAAAGTGTTACGATAATAAAAAACGATAAGAACAACAATAACAATATAAGAATTATACAAAGATATTGTAGAAGAAGTAGGTGGAATTATGGTATGGGATAAATCGCAAGGATACGCAAGCATTTTTACACTTTAATCCCAACATTTTTAATCATTTTTCTTGTTTTAAGGATTCACACTGGTTTTTGTTTTTATTTCATTTTTCTCTCTGATTATATTGTGTGTCATTAAAATTTATTTATTTATTTTGTATGTGTGTATACAATACATATGTATATATGTATGTATATATATATATAAATTGGGAAAAGATTTCTTTAACGGAGCATGAAAGATTTTTTCCAGTAATTTTAGGTTCCCTTAAAAACCCATTTTATAGCCAAAAATTATGACGTGTTAAGCTTACAAATTGCTCGTAAACATCATTTACGAGGTGCGAATTTTTAATTTTTTTTTTCTTGTTTTTTGTTGTTTTCATTCCTTTGTCCTTTAGTTTTTGTTGTTGTTCTTTTTTTTTTTTGTTTGGTACTTCGTTGTACTTTTATTTTACACTTTTATTTTTCATTTTTTTTTGTTTTTTTTTTGTTTTTTCCCTGTTAACATTTTGCTCGTGGTTCTTTCATTCATTTTGTGTGATTGTGTATACTATTTTTTTGCCCATTTTTCCTTTATTTTTCATTATTTTGATATTTTTCATTTTTATTTTTTTTTTTATGTTTTTAATTTTTATTTTTTCATTTTTTTGAAAATGCCAAATGAAATGAACTTAAAGCAAGATGAAGGAGACCAGGACAGAAGAGAGAAAAAAAATATGAACGCGTCTTTTGAGGATATTAAAGTATCTACAGAAAAAAAAATGGTAGACAAGAAATAAAAACAGAAAAAAATAACCACAAAACGCGATATTTTTGCCTCCACAAATGAATTCAGGAACCCAAAATGAATCCAAAAAAAAGGAATTTTTTATATATTTAGGCGCAGTTGAATACTCTCTCTGGTTGTATGAATGGGACAAACAAAATAATTATTTAGCCTGCAGTATTTACAAACGAACTAAGAACAAAAAATAAAAAAATTTGAAAAGAAAAAAGGAAAAAATTCAAAAATTTTGTGGTAATTTTCCTTTTTTGGAATTTCATTTTACTGTCTATAACTTCCTTTTGCCTCTTTATGATTGTTCTTTTTTTTTCAACTTCGATTTTAGGATGATCGGAAGTTTATTTTGGTTTTTTGTTTTTCTGATTCACTACAACATGTTTCTGATTTGCAACATTGTCAGGTGTTGAGGCAAGGAATAAACTTATGGTTTGACTATTTTCTTTATGATTTTTGGATAAAGATGAAAAAAAATTATGAAAATCGAATAAGTGTAATGCGGAACTTAAAAATGCATGACAAGAAAATGACGTGTGCAGGAAAAATAAAAATATTGGACAAGTTGAAGAAAAGGAAAAGGTGAAATATTTTATATATGAGTCGGCTGAACTGATTTTTTCGTTAAAAATAAGAAAAAAATGTATTTTACACTCTTAATTTTAAAATTAAAGCTTTACAGTTTAAGTTTTCACATCGAAATTGGCAAATAAATTGAGACGAATAACATTGTAGCTGATAAATTAAATTAAAATGCAAAGAATTCCTTCAACTTTTCGTTGTGCTTTAACGAAATCTCTAATCTCTAATTTATTAATCTGTAACTAACTTTAAAAAATTCCAGCAATACAGAATTAATACGCAATTTAGTCTCAAGTTGTAACTGTTCACAAATATTAGTACAAGTGCTCTCCAATTATCGTTTGCCAATCTCCAATTATCTTGAAAACAGTGCCCTTTATACAATGCAGTCATTCCAAACGAATGTTTGAACTAAGTATCAACTTGAACACGTCTAAACTCACATTTGTTTCATAAATTGCAGTAATTCACATTATAAGTGAAAACTTATAATATTTTTAAACTCTTAATCGTTAAAATAAACAATTTCAAAATCATTTTAGATTTTATGTAGAACTTTCAGCAAATATTATATGTAGTTGCAATATTAAAGTTGTATGTCGAGTTTAAAAAACATTTTTACGATTAAGCCTCAATATTCAAGAGTTTAAACTAAACTATTATATTTCTAAGATAAAGTTATATATACTTGATATTTTTATTCCATTTTTGCATATATACAAATTTAGAGTTCCAAAACAATCCTTTAAATATTTTTAATAAATCCACTGAAAGGAAACAAAAAATAAAAATAAAGGAAAAGAAATAGAAAAACAAAAGCTTGAACATCAAAAATAACTTTTTTGCCCCCATCTCCCTTATACTCAAAAAACTGAAAAAAAAACTTTCATAATAGGATTTTATCGAAAACATGCAAAACCCATAAATATTTACCACCACACGTCATTGTTAGAGAAGAATTTTCCACAAAATTTTCACTCATAAAATATTGTTGTGTGTAGTCTTACATGCAAAGAAAATTTACCAAAAATGCTTTTTATTCTATTCTTATGCGGTGTACTAAGAAATTGTGTAGAAATATAAGCAAATGTTTGAAATAAATCCATTTATCACTTGTGTCGTGACTGTGTCATAAGAGGAGTAATAGCTTTGCTTGCAATCAATCCTAGTGAGTACCATAAACTAATTCAAACTTTTAAGTTTATCTGCTAGTTTAGTAAATAAATTTTAACAAGTTTCCAAAATTCAATAATTACAAATAAAGATTGTTAAAAGAATTAGAATAATTTAAATTCCATTTTGCTCTTAACTTACAGATCGAAAAATTCCTCTTGAAAAATATATTCCACCGTGAGCTAAGCGTGATTACATAGGCAGCTTTTAAATTTAAAGAGAGCAAGTATGTGTGATAGGTTTTTAAGTTTTAATATATTGTCTATTGTGAACCTACTCACATATTAGTATTTTGCGACTTGATAATTTGCTTATTCTTAAAATATTGTATTGAACAACATGCATAATCAAATTATTTTTCTTTCTATCAAATTATTTTTCCTTTCTTTGAAAAAATATTTTCAAAAATCGTAACCCATTCATTTTTTAGCCAAATAGAGAGTTACACCGATCATAAGCCTTGTAGGTAAATATTTTTTCATTTCAACAACATACGCCAATGATGTTCAACATGATAAAATCTATAACAAACAAAAAAAAAATAATGAGAAAGAATAAAAAAAAATATGAAATTCTAAGTTAAGCCAACTTCATCTTGTTCCCTTTAGGTGAATCTAAAAAGTTATGAATAAGCTTTATGCATATTTCTGTAGTGATCTTATTACTTAAAATATTTACCAATGCAATTTCCATATAATATACACGTAGAGTATAAAATATTTGTATTGTTATTTTATATGTTGAAATTTGTACAAATATATAATATGGTATAAGGATTATTAAAAATTTGATATACAAACTAAAGGATATAGGAATGCAAAGATACAAGTATTTGCATATGTTTGTATCCATATATGTAGATCTTAAAATATTAAGAAAAAAATTAATAGAAAATATTTTACATTCAGTTCTTATATTTTACTTTATAAACACATTCATACATAATACAATTGTGTATAATATTTTGTACGTATCTTGATATATATGTAAACATATGTATGTGGGTATGCAAGCGTGTTCCAAATTAAAATAAATTTTCGGTATGCCAGATTGAAATTCCTTTATTGAACAAAAATCTTTTCATAAATAACAAAAAAAAAGTCTTCTTTTCACCATTATTTTTTTATTCGATTACATATTTTGAAGAGTGCATTTAAGGTACATGATGATTAAAAGCATTTTAAATGAAAATTTTTTTCGAATATCCTAAGTACACATTTATGTAGATATTAAGTGCACATAAAGCCATTTTATTTTAATTTTTATGAAATAAAATTCTTTAACATGTCCATATAAAAATAGAAAATGTTTCTTTCTACAAAATATTTTTATAAATTAATAAAATATTTGCATTTATGCAAAGGTAGTAAAATAAAATGAAGGGAACAGAAAAGATTTTTTATATTTTTGATATATTTTCCGATTAGTCCGGTTGTGTATATTATAAGAAACATCATCCATAAAAGATATTACAAAATATTTATGTGCATTTACCAGAAGAATTCCTTATGAACAGTCAATCCTATTTACATAAATATAAATGCATCTAAATTATTAGAAAAACGATTATGTGAGGCATCCGACTAGTTAATTACTCTTAAAATTAAGAAGTTGATACCATTAGTTTTAGTTTGTTATTTATTTTTCCTAAAAATTTAAGTTTTTACTTGAATAAATATTTTAATTTAAATATTGATCAGACCATAACTTGATTAATTCAATAATAAAATTTCCATTTTTAATTAAGTGTGGTGTTTCTCCATCTTCCTCATTAACTTATACTGACTGTATGATTATGTTCGAAATTCCAAAAACAATTACAATACAAAAAGCATATTGAAAATATATTTCGAAGAATACAAATAAATAGTTAAATAAAATTATCAATTTTCATTATTTAAGCATTGTAGTAATTTAACCAATATAACTACGTGAATGTAGAGTAGATGAATGGCAATCAATAAAGGGTTATCATATTAATTTACCATTATGAAAATATATTTAGAATAACATAAGTAATGTATGTATTCCTTTATTCTTTTATTTGTGTACAGATTTCAATTTAAATTATTATTATTATTATTATTATTATTTTGCAAATTTTATAATACTCCAATTTAAATATACATAAATAAATGATTATTTTATTTATTTGATTATTAAACAACAATAAATTCAAAATATTAAGTTGAAAATTATTCGCTATGGTGTTTTTTATTGTTGGATATATAAATCGACCGGAAAAACAAAGGACAATAAAAAAATTCGCTAGTTTTTACTAAATATTCTATGTTTGCTTTCTTGGAGCAAAACTGGCAGTGTAATTTGTTAAAATCTATTAATTTCAAACAAAAACATTGGATTCTAAGACAATGCAATAAAATTCTTGTATTCAAATTAGATTCTTTCTTATTTCAAACATGGTTCAGTTGGATTCTTACTTATAAATCGCAATAAATCTAATGTTTCAGCGACTTTATCAGTAAATAATAGCTTTAATTTTACTAACCGCTGGTGTCTTTCTAATAACAAATCAGAGAAAAACTTAATATTCATTATTAGAATTTAAAGTCATCAATCCACTTTATAAAATTTTTTTTAAAATTTGAATAAATCCTTTTGTCATTAAAACATTTTTATTGATAAAATTAAAAGTGCCTTAAAATTAATTTCTAATACCTTATAATATAATATAATAGTCTAATACCTTATATATAATCATCAATTTAACTAAAAGGATATTTTATTACTCAATAAAAGGTAAATTTGTTGGACTTTCAATTTAAATGTACAAATATTGTTATATCCTGAACAGTACATACATATTACATATTATATATATATACATTATGACACAAATTATATATTCTACACTATATGTACATAACCGAAACAATAATTCTATAAATTTTATAAAGTCAACAGGCTTTAAAAATATTTCTCTTAACGTTATTTTACAACATTATTATAAAGGCGATTTTTATTATGGTTCAAAACAACATCAGAATTATCACAAATTAAACAATTTTATAACGATTGAATTAAAGCCATAATATTATTTATTATGGCAATAAATTTTTTTTAACGGACTAATAATTTTCGTAAAATTTTTTAACTCCGGAGGGGGATATCCGAAAATAGAATAATTTGATTAATTTTTATTTTATGTAAGTATATGTAAGGTTCGTTAACATCACGCTCTGCAAAAGTAATGATGCTTACAGCTTTATTATATTCAATTAAATAAAAAAAAATAAAAAAAAAAAGATTCATAAGCAAAAGGATAATTATGTAAAGTTTGTCCATTTTGAGTTTTACAAAAATCTATACAGAAATGTTTTTATGACAGTGGTTACGCACGTGAATATAAAATTTAAATTCATATATGTATGTTTGTATACATACATATATGATAATAGTATGTTAAAAAACTTTTGGAGAAGGATAATTAATTTCAGTTAAAAATTTTATATTTCAAAAATTTTATTGTAATTTCTTTTTATTTTTGCAACTTTGCTAGAGGCACAAAATTTAAAAATTTTTTTGTAGAATAATAATGATGATAAATTTTTTTTTCTTTAATTTAAGAACTAAAGTTTATATTTATTTTGCAACATAGATAGCTAGTGCTATGAATTAATTAGTACTTCATAGAGCTATTAAAAAATATTCGACCATGTATACACGCATACATATATGGTATATAAGTAAATATATATATAGTTTATCAAGTGTGTACATTACAAGATAGTATGTAGTATCGATGCGATTTTATACATATGTACGTACTATGACAATTTCCAAATTGTCCTTTATAATACGACCCAAAAACTGTGGCATGAAACATTAAAAATTGAAATTATGCAATTCGTAGAGTATATATCCAAAATGCGTGCCTAATTACACTCTGCAATTCATGGCCATTATAAAGTTCCAATTTGCAAAATAAGTTTTTTTTAAGTAACTGAATCTTTATAAAAAACTGCATGGAAATTCTTATTTCTGGCAAAAATTAAGTTGATATTCGGTCCTTTTCACTTCTGGCACAATAAGGATATCAACAGTCTCGTTCGCTAATATTTAAATATGTATCTCACTCTTACAGAAATAGTGGTTTCCAAAAATTACTCCATGGAAAACTACGAAACACTGTTCACTAATTTGAAAAATACATACATTCTGTTGCAAATTGTAATCCAAAAACAAATGCTAATTAATAACAAAAGTTTTTTTTTGCATTTTAACTCATAATTTCATATTTAATTATTAAACTTGTGAATAACAATTTTAATATTCCATTACTTATAAATTTTTCAAATTATTTAAATTCAAACATTCATAAATTACAAATTTTTTTTTCAAATATGCCAATGTCAACGTCAGTGTCAACTTCAATATTTGCGTTTCCTTTTTCTTTTGTGTTACCGTTTTCTTTCAAAACATAATTTTAATCTGAATCGTACTAACTACTACCATTTTGTATATAGTTTTAAATATTATATAGAAGACCATTTTTGTAATTACACAACAAACTACTTGCTTTGCGGAGCACGTGTGAGTAAAAAGTTTTTTGAATTAAAATAGCGCCACTTAAAAAAAAATAGTTATATTGTGTAATTATAAATATTGTCTTGAATACATCACTATAAACTATATAAACAATTCTACTACATTGGTTTCTTTTACGTTTAATTTGATATGTTTAAAAAAACAATGATTTTATACATTATACTTTTATACAATGATTTTATACATTATTAACTCATGATTCGCTGGGTCTTTGCTATTGCCAACGTGAAATCGACTTATTTTAGATGCCCGATAAAAATATCAAAATGCTTCTAAATTTTCAATATTTCACAATGCTAAGTAATTAAGAACGCGTTCGGTGAGCAATTAGTTTGATCATTTGGTTTTAGTCGGTAGGCTATCAAATATTTTAACGATTTTGTACAATTGGAGCCAGAATTCACTGATACGTAGATCAAAAATTTACATATACTTACAATTGTTAAATAACTCAATTTAATTCGTTAAACTGCAAAGATCGATTTGACGATTGGAATAAAATTACACGGAAATTTGTAATATTCTATCATTATTTTTAAATTTATAAATCTCATTTGAAAAATGAGTTTTTATACCTATAAAAGTTTAAAATCTACGTAATATAGGTTTTATAAACTAGTCAAATTTAAGTTGAAGTTTGTCTTTTCCTCTTTTTCTATCCTTTTACGTATAAATATACAAATTTTGAATACACGCCTATTTTTTTGTTAATAACAAATGATTTTTGTGTAAGTAAAAATCCATACAATTCAAATTGCTTTCAATTCAAAAGTACTGCATTGAAAAGAAAAATTAAAACAAAGTTTTTCTATTTCGAGCAATTTAAACAATTGAGGGTTCAAATCAAAATAGAAAAGGCTGTATTTACTTCACTAGAAAAAATGTAGGAAAATTTTCAAAAACGGTCACACTATTTTAAAAAAATCTGAAAGTTCTGCAAAATGTGAATGTCATTACACAGCAGTCATTCAGCTGTTTTATTGTTTTTTTTTGTTTTGAATTGATATCTCGAAAAAAATATTAGAGTTAAAGTTAAGAGAGAATTTTTAAAATACATAATATTATGTACTTCTCTAATTTATATTTATTTACTTTATGTGTTTGGATTTGATTTATGTTTTATTAATATTTTTCATTTGGGTTTTTAAAGTTTCTATTTAAATTAAGTAATACGAACAAAATTAGATTTTAATTTGAATTATAGTGAAAGAGAATCTATTATTAGTTGAATTGTATTATCAGTCGTAATTATTAATATGTCAAATATTTATCTAATTCCGGTAGCAGTATTTTTTATTTTTCAGACAACTTTTATTTGCACGTAAGTTAATATTGAAGATTGTAATTATTGATTTTAAAATAATTGTATATATATAGCTATATAGCCGCAGTAATTCAAGGACATGTTGTTCCCGACATTCCGTATATATCCGATGCAGCAACTTATTCGCCAGAGTCATGTGTTTTTGGTCAATTAATTAATATTGGAAGTGTCTTATGTATGTATTAAATTTTCATGTAAATTGAGAGTTTATTAATTAAAAGTTATTTGATTTTAGTGGGCATTACAATTTACATTAGATATCGGCAAGTTTTGCAATTGGTTAGTCATCATCCTGAAATAGGGGAATCCCTAATTAAATATAATAAAATTGCAGTTTATTTTGGATTGATTTCATGTCTGGGAATCAGTGTTGTAGCTAATTTCCAAGAGACTAATGTTAGAATTGTGCATTTCACAGGTGCATTTTTTGCTTTTGGCGTTGGAACGTTATATTTTTGGATGCAGGTATGTCTGACTATTCAAGTATACATAAACATATGTATGTGTATTGCGATTAATTAAATAAGAAACTTACATAGAAAACACGAATAGTATTTGTAAAAATAGTTTTATATTTCATATAAAGGCTTTGATCTCCTACACGATTCATCCATTTGCTGGCTCAAAATTAAAAGCTCATATTCGGTTAGGAATGGCTATAGTATGTACAGTTTTATTTTTCGTATTAGCTGTAACCGGAATTATATCACATATTCTTTTTAAAGGTCAAAATCCTAGAAAATGGTAAATAATTTCAATCAAGTTTTTAAAAAAAAATCTAATTTAAATTTATGTTAAGAATATTTACATTCTTTTCCAGGTATCCTTCAGATGGTGGTTGGAAATTTCATGTAGCTAGTTCCATATCAGAATGGGTAATTGCTACAGTGTTTTGTTTCAATATACTAACTTATACTGATGAATTTCGTGACGTAAATATAAAAACTATTTTTAAAATATTCAGACTCTTTAAATTCTCTTCAAATTTTAGATTCATTTCGATCATCCACCAATCATTTTGTTGAATTATGCTGCGGATGAAGAAAATGTACTGGATCAATAGGAGGAAAGGGTTATAAGACATTATCATATTAAGTTTTTTATAAGCTTTTTTATATTTTTAACTGTGATAACAATATCTTTTGCCTTTTTTTCAATAGTAATTGTTTGAAATATAAATTTATATAGTTTCAAGTATAGAGCTATGTGCTTCGCAAAGATTTTAGTTTAAAGCTTACAAATCGAAAAATTTTGTAAATATTTGACATTGTAATATCTGATGACATTGTAATATAATATGAAAACTTGTTCCTTGTCATTTTTTATTAACTATATTATTTTATCTAATACTTATGTTTCTTTTCTTAAAGCGAGTAATGCTCGTTTGCATAGTATATTTGCATTTTTAAATGATAAACAATTGATTTTTATGGTTTGTAATGAGTGTCGGATAAGCATGCCCGACATATTTGACTATTTCCCCTGATAAAACTGTAATTATATTGCAATATAAACAAAATATATGCAGCTACGTACATATGTAAATATGTTCTTATATCGTTTATTACCCTTGTTACAAATTCAGTTTGAAATAGAAAAGACGGGTGTTTAGTTTAAGTAATTAAAATTACACAAAGTTAATAAATTTTAATTCATAATATTCTCAATTCTATCGGAAAACCCACCTTTTGTACCTATACATGTCCTTAAGTAAATTATATGCAAATTATTTTAAAATCGAAAGTTTGTCTTATACATACGAGTATTGTTACCGCCTTATTTATCGAAACAGTTACTAGTTAAAAGTTAAAATTATATAAAAAAAAAGGGAATGAGGTAGAACGGAAAACATAAAATAACGTTCTAGTTTTATTTTGGTTTTGTACTTTTCATTATTTGTAATATTTGATATTCATACATACAGCCATACATTTAAAAACCAAATTACATTATTAATGACGAACAATCTGGAAGCAAATTGAAGTTGGCAATATTTTCTCCGAAGTAGATGAACAATTTGTAATTTTTATCTCCCATTTCGCATTATAAGCTTCCGTTTTTGTTTATTTGTGTGAACTTCTCCATTTTCATTATTTTTATCATTAAATTTATTTTTGTTTTATGTCCAGTGTAGTATTAAGTAATATGTTAACGTAAATGTAAATATATATGTACTTGTAATACTGGTTTTTTTTACGCTTAAATATCTTTTAAACACTCAACGATTTTTTGGCATGTTTAAAATATTTTGAATTTTTTAGGACCTAATGGCGCTTCCAGAATTTTTTTCCAGCCTGCAAATTCATACTTTACATAGATACATACATACATACATATGTGTGTGTATAAATTTCAATGCATAAAAAATTTTACATTTTTTACGCGATAAAAAACGGGGGAAAAAGGAAAATTAAAACATTTTAATGGTTTTGTGAAATTTTATTACTGAAAATGCATTTTTGGATGCTCAGATTTATTTAAAATGTGAAAGTAATATATATACATACATACATACATATATAAAAAGCCGTACCTACCTGTCTAAAGATTTTTTTATTGTTTTTTTTTATCGTTAATAAAAAAGGATACTATTATGATTTTTAAATATAATGTCCAAAAAATCTTAATTCAGTTTTTATTAACGGTCGTGCATTATATTTAAGTATACATACATACTTTTAAAGAGAATTAAAATGTTAATATTGAAAACTTAATTTAAGTTTGACGGTGGTATATTTGGTTAAAATTTAATATAATTTAAATAAAATTAAATTGCAAATAGATTTTGATGGTTATTTCTAGGAAAATAAATATATGTATATGAGCTCATCTGTATTGTATACTATAGGTTTAAATATTTACATACCTACTTACATATTGTAGAAATGTTTGAACACATTATGTCTATAGTTCTCATATTCACTTTCTATTTACTGGACTAAAAGTCCGATTGTAATTTTTAATGGCTCTACACCTATATATGAAATAATAAATTTGCACAAATTTCGGATTCTTCAGTTTGGTTAAGTTTCATTGGTGTAGAATAATGACTAGAAATTTATTTTTCCTGAAAATATTGTAAACAATTGACAATCATTCCTCATGTTATTTGAAATCATAGAAAAATAAAAACTTCCCTAAGAAATAATGATGTTGTAATTAACAGCCTGCGTAAATAATGCCATTTCGTGTGTCGTGCAACATAAAATGTGACTGTAAGTTGATGTTCTCTTAAAGTATACAAATTAGTTTGGATATAAGAAAAAGTCCCTGAAATTCTTTTACATTTTGTTTGAAGTATCTGGAGAGAAATAGCAACTTTTGAAAAATATTCTTTCAAGTCATGTCAAAGTTTCAAAAAATTGTGAAAATTTGCAAATATTTTTTTATTAAATGTTTAAAGCATTCATTAGCTTCTTATTAAAATTTCAGTCTAATGAAAAAAAAACAAAAATTCGAGAATATTGAATGCTCCTTTCTTTCTAAACTTTTTTAACCAAAGATTGAGATTTTTTCTTGTTTTGTTTTTTCTCTTATGTTTTTTTGTATGAGATTTGGATTTTCAATTAAAAGTTTATGAAGTAAACTTTCTTTATTTGTAAATTTTCAGAGTAGTTTTGGTTGTTTCTTTGCATTGCTTTGTTTTACAACAACAATAACACCAACAGAAATAAACCACAACAATATAGAAATAAACTTCGACTGTCTGGTCTTAAATGGGGGTATTTTGTTTTTTTTTTGTTTTGTGTTTACCAAAGAAAGTTTTTGCGTAAAGCGGGCACAATGCACTCCTCGAAAGCTGATGGTATTTCGTCATTACTGTGTATCGTGATACTTTCTTTTTCTTAAGGATTAGAATAATTAAACATTTTATTTGGTAATCCACTTTTCGTAGTTTTAATAATTTAATAGTAGAGTTTTTAAGAAACAAGAAACTTTATATTTTGGAAACATCTGTGAGGTAATTTTGTGTGTAGAATAATAAAGATTGTGTGTGTTGAAAAAAGTCGGGGTGTTGATGTTTCTAATAATTTTTATTAATTGAAGCTGAGTACAAAATAAAAGAGAAAGTTATGGATTCTATAAAGAACGAGTAAACTGATAGAAAAATTCCTTGTCTTCTTTGAAATAGTTTGTGTTGGATTTTATTTGTTAGCTGATTAGTTCATTGAATCATTGGCTTTTGGAAGATCAAAATACATTCAAAAATATTTTTTTAATAAACTTTAATTGTAATATGTTAAGAAAACTTTCATCTTATACTATTTTTGGTATATTTCTTGTTTTAACACTGACTTTACTTAAAAGTGTTTATTTGCTTTATTTGTTTCGTCTGTTCGTCAGTTTGTATAAAAGTTCTTCAAACTTCAAAATGGAAATATTCGAAATTCGATAAGCCAGTTGAGTTTAATAAGTATAAAGTGAATTTATTAATAAAGTGAATAAAGTGAAAGCACCATTGAATTTCTATAAAAGAATTAATATCTGACAATAATTCTATTTTTATATTACCCTTTGAATTAGTGGTCCAACTTATTTAAACATAACTTTTGACGTCTTAACTATGTATGTATGTGAATTAAAGTTTTGAAATTTTCCTTAGCCATATGCAATATGATAACGTGCATAATATGTCTTTTACCAACATATCATATTGCATATATCTAGGGGCAATTTAAAATTATGTATTTTAGTTTTAAATTTAAATTGTTACTTTACAAATCAAATACTTAATAATTATATTTTATTTCAAATAATTGTATTGTTTCTATATTAAAATTTCATAACCACATATTAGAGACGCAAACGATTTATTTTACAACTTGGAGTATTTTTCAGCACGTTGTGTCTTTTCTTATATAATTTAAAGTTTCTTTGAACTTACTTAATAAAATTGAATATATTTCTTTTGTCCTGATTTAAATTACATGTACAGCATAAATTCATGAATAATTACTTAATTAAATATAAAAATAATTAATTAATTTATTTGTTTTTTGATCTCAATCGTTTTTAGTGCATATATAGAGGAAATCTTTGTGGCTAATATATTAAAAAGTGATAGCCTTTTATGTACAAATAATTTCCAATTTATTATTACAATTATGTGTATATTATGAAAACTTTTTAATTAAAAAATCAAATAGCGTGAATTTTACACAAACATTTACATTGCCTATATACAAACATATTTATATATATACACATGTACTGGTACTTTTTATGTTTATGAAAATTTTTATTATTTTTTTTTTCATAAATGCTTATATAAAATATTTATACATAAATTGTGGTTTTCTTGTTATTTTAAAAAGTTTTAAAAAGTCTAAATATGTATGTTAATGTAAGTGTATTTTTGATATGATTATTTTACAAACATAAATGCAATTAATAATGCAATGAATATTAAAATTTTAAAAAACAGTTCATGTACGTGACCTCAAAGTTTAGATGTCTTTTTCTATAATATTTTTATAATAAAAAAAAAAAAATAGCAAAATAAATGGAAAATTTTTTTTAAAAAGAATTTATTATTCAGATTTTTCTCAATTTGTTATTCAACAATGTGCGTATATGCGTACATATATGAGCATATATATATATATATATATATATATATATATACATATAAAATTTTATTGTATCAAATTAAAATTTAATTTTGTGGTTTTCATTTACAATTTTTGTTGAAATATCTATTTCATTAAAAATGTCCAATTAAAAACAATGATAAAATATTCATTATGAATAAATAAATTTTGAAGTACACACAAAAAAAAAATGGCATGAATAAATAAATAAAAAATGATTAAAGTAAAAATTGTCGCTTTTTATTTTACGCGAGCACACAAAGTTCCTGTACGAGTTTTTATCCTGTGTTTTCCTGTGAATTTCATTTTAGTTTGACATTAACGTATACGAATTTTCAATTTTCCATTTTTTTATACGTATATAATTTTCATTTTTAATAATTTTGAAAAAATTTTTTGAAAATTTCTCAAATAATCATAATTTTTCGCTTATTTTTTCTTGATTTTTTTTTTTAATTTTTTGATAAATGCTTAAATGTTAAATATTAGGTGAGTTGCAATTTATTTATTTTAAAATATTACAGAAAATCAAAAAAAGGTCATCGAGTATAATATTAAATAACAATAAATACAAAACAATATAACAGTTACAAAAATAAAATATTAAAATAAAAAACGTATAATGAATTATTCATTTAAGCATTTATTATAATTTTTGTATTTATTTATAATGATTTTTGTATATTAAATTATTGTGTCATCATTTTGAATATTTTTGGT